AAAATTAACTCCAAATGGATCAGAGACCTAAATGTAAAACCTCAAACCATAAGATCTTTAGAAAATGAAGGACACACCCTTATGGAAATCAAGGGGAGGGAGATGGGATTAACGGTAGTAAATATCTGTCTGGGGACGGGGAAACACCTCTTATCAACAAGGGTACCTGAACGAAACATATGTGTATACCTAATCCTTAACTGTACCCCACAATATCATAATAAAAAATATTGATTATAAAAAAAATCTAATCCTACTCAAAAGAACAAAAAAGCAAGAAACAGAGTAGAAGATATAAGCATAAAGGTGCCAAAGGTGTTGTACTTGGCCTAGAAAACTCCCTAAATAAGAAAAAGAAACACTCCAAAAAAAAAAAAAAAAGTCTACAGGGTCAATAAAAAAACGAGCAGGAAATCTGAATAGGCATTTCACAAAAGATTATCTAAATGACCAGTAATCAATAATCGCATGAAAAGGTACTCAGAATCAGTCATCAGAGTTACTCAAATTTAAAAATAATAAATGACTTTACTATGTATGGGTGAGGACTTTGGGCAACTCTTCTCATACCCTGCTCACAAGACTAAACTGAGTGGACCACTTTGGAAATTTGGTAATTTCCATATTATCTGCCAATATGACCACGTCTCAGTCTACCTCTCCAGGCTCATCTTCTACTACGCTTCTCCTCCTTTACCATGCTCCAATTCCACTGCCTTTCATACAGTATCCCATTAGGCACCAAGCTCCTTTCTAATTCAGGGCATTTATACAGAACTCTTTCTTCAATGTGGAATACTCTGACGCTCCATAATGCACATTTATTGGCTTCTTACCTATCATTCATTCTCTGCATATTCCTTTCCAAATAGCTCAATTACTGTTGGGATCTCATGTGGTTCTAATAAGTATATTTCACCCCTAACACAGGGTGCAGAACATGCCCTTGCCCAGCCAATCAGCATATTCCACTCCTCTAGCCACATCATCTGATCCCTAATGAGTATGACCTAAGATGATCAAAACTGAGAGGAACTCAGGTCTTCTCCCGGAATATTGGAGAAAAGACTCTCTTTCCTACTTGCCATATGTCAGGGAATATACAGCTTTGGAAATTACTTCTAACCAACTAAGGATCATGAAGAGAGCGAGGCTTAAAATAATGGCAACAGTACAGAAGGCAGAATAAATGGAAGAAAAGCATCAAATCTTTGGTGACATCACTGAGCCACTGGATCAACTCTTGCTTGAAGCCAACTCTGCTTTCTACTGAGAACATCCTAAGATAATGTTCCTCTTAGCCCAGACAAAGTCTAATGATCTTTCAAGTCCCAACCTAAATGCAGCTCCAGAGGATAAGGCTTCCTCAATACCCAGACTTGGCCAAGACCCCTTTTATATACTCAAACTAACTTGTACTCCTTGTAGCATTAAATATATCTTAAATCATTTAATTAATGTGTTTATTGTCTTTCCATTAGAGAGTAAGTTTCTGAAGAACTGAGTTTTGTTCAACACTCTATTCCCAAGGTCCAGCATGGTGCCTGGCACATAAATATATCTAAATAAATGAATAACTGGCATGATAAAGAAATCATGAATAAATGAACATCATTGGAAAATGAAGTGTTCTACATAGATAACTGAAGTATATCCTGCTAAGCACAAATTCTTTTTGATTGTATTATTTTGTATGAAAACCTCTGAATCATACTTCCCTGACCTCTGAAACAGAGGCTAATTTTATAAAGAAACTTACTCTTCTTAATAACTTCAGGTCATCACTATGAACACCAACTTTTGTACAATACTATATATAATTATGCCCTCAAGAGCTAAGGAAATACAAAAGATAGTTCTCCTAAAGTAAATGGGCCCAGAACAAAGTGTTGTTAAAATATTTTGTTTAGGCCGAGCTCAGTGGCTCAGCCTGTAATCCCAGCACTTTGGGAGGCCGAGGCAAATGGATTACCTGAGCCTTCCGGTTCGAGACCAGCCTGGGTAACATGATAAGACTTCATTTCTACAATAAATCAAAATTAGCCAGGCGTGGTAGCACACACCTATAGTTCTGGCTACTCAGAAGGCTGAGGCGGAAGGATTGCCGGAGCCCAGCAGGTCGACGCTGGGGTGGCCGTGAGTGCATCACTGCACTCCAGCCTAGGTGACGGAGTGAGGCTCCAACTCAAAAAAAAAAGAAAAAAAATTTTTTTTTTGTTTTTTACTTCCTGATGATTAAGTAGATCACAAATGCTGAATTCTTAATTCTTTTTCCTTCTTCCCTAACAAGCTATTATCTGTCAATTCTTATTTGTTAAACCTACGGGAACTGTATTATTATGGATCTGAATAAGGAATAAAAGAATTCTACAAGTACAGTGAACATATTTTCAGTGTGTAGACTGCTGTGATAATCATGGCATTTTTCCATTTACTTTCAGGTTTTTGGCTACATTCTTTAGTCATAATTGGCAGATAAACAGTGCTTTACTATACCTTACCTACTAGAGCCGTTTTTTTAAAAAAAGATCAATAGAAAATATTATGCAGCTACAAAAAGAAATGAAGATCTCTAACACTCTAGGAAACATTGCTAAGTGGGAAAAAACTCAAGATATTAAAATGTGCTATCTTTGAGTTAAAGAAAGATAAGCCTACATCCATAATATATATGCTTCTTTTGAAAATATGAATAAAGGATAAATAAAAAGTTAATAAAAATGATTACCCATAGCACCTATGTTGGTGAGGATGTATAAAAACTGGAAACCTTGTACACTGTTGGTGGAAATTTAAAATGGGACAACTGCTGTGCAAAACATTACGGTAGTTCCAGAAAAAATGAAAAACAAATTTACAGCCAGGCACACTGGATCACAGCTATAATTCCAGCACTTTGGGAGGCTGAGGCAAGAGGACTGCTTGAACCCAACAGTTCGAGACATAGTAAGACTTCATCTCTACAAAAATTAAAATTAAAAAATTGTCTAGGCATGGTGGTGCATGATGACAGTCCCAGCTACTTAGGAGGCTGAAATGGGAGCATCATCTGAGTCCAGGAGGTCAAGGCTGCGGTAAGCCATGATCATGCCACTGCACTCCAGCCTGGGCAACATAGTGAAACCTCAACTTAAAAATATATAGATAGACAGATTTACCTATGACCCAGCATTTTACTTCTGGCTATATACCCCAAAATAATTGAATACAATATCTTGAAGAGATATTTGTACACCCATATTCACAGCAACATTATTAGCATTATTCCCAGCAGCTAAAAACAGGAAAACAAACCAAATATCTGATGGATGAATGAGCAAAATGTGGGATATATACTGAATAGACAATGGAATGCAACTTAAAGAAGAAAGAAATTCCTGCATATGCTATAATATGGATGAACCTTGAAGACACTATGCTTATTGAAATAAGTCAGTCACAAAAACACAAATACTATATGATTTCACTAATATGAGGCACTTAGTCAAAATCACAGAGACAAAAAGGGATCAGGGGGTTGGGGGAAGTATGGGAATAAAGAGGTATCATTCAATGAATACAGAGTTTCAGTTTTGCAAGATAGAAGAAGGTCTAAAGACAAATGATGATGGATGGTGATAGCTGCATAACAGAAATATACTTAATACCACTTAAAAGTGATTAAGATGGTAAATGTCATGTTATGTGTATTCTACCGCAATTAAAAAAAAAAAAAAATTTTATTATCCACAAGGAAAGAAAAACAAAGAAGAAAGTTAAATTTCTCTAAATAAAAACTTTTATAGTTTGAATTTTGATCAATGTAAATGTTTCATATAATATTGCAATGAAATTAAATCAAAAAGAAATCCCTAAAACTCAAAAAGAAGTGAGCATAGTGCAATAATTTTTTCAAGATAATAAGAGAAAAAAGACTGGTCAACCTAGACTTCATGCACAACGAGACCATCTTTCAAAATTAAGGCAGAAAAAAGGTATCTTCTGGCAAACAAAAGCAGAGTGTGTGACCAAAAGCACCTCCCCTCACTGTAGGAAATTCTCTATAGCAGGTAGAAAGAAAATGACCTCAAATGACATATAAGAAAAATCAAAACTTTAGAACTGAGAGGGAGGGGGAGTATGGAGGGATAAGAGCACATAGATGATCTGCTGCCCTTTCATCCAGAAGAGGGGGCTCTGCCGAGTTCCACACTTTAGAAGGCTGCACCTATCAAAAACATCAAAACCCAAGGACAATCAGTAACCGAATGAAAAGGAATTAAAACAGAGGGCTCACAAACTGAACTGGGTTCCCCCAGGGCAGACAATGAAGGAAGAAGAAAGGGGGCAAATCACAGCCACTGTTCTAGGAAAACCAGAGCATGAAAATCTGCTTTTGTATAACCTTGGCCACCCTAAATATCCCAAAGATGTCTAGGCAGACTGAGTTTCCCATATAACTGCATTCCCTCCTCCTCCTCCCTAATTTGAGTAATTTAACAAGATACTTGGAACTGCCTGAAAATCTTGAATTAGAAAAACAAAACGTAGGGGACATAAATCTGTTTGTCCTGGTTCTGTGTGGAGTTTCACCATATCAGTCTCCACCCCAGATTCAAGAACGACCCTGGCCCAACTTCTGTCCTGCCCGGCCCAGGGAGAGCATGGCTCCTTTAATAGCTCTGGCTGGGCCCTGGGTAGGAAAGCAGGTCAGGCTGTTGGCATAAACTGATTTCTAACTATTTCCAACTAAGACATTTTAAAAGTTGGCTTCCATTTGTATTCCTGCCCTAGGTACTGGAAGTGTTAGGGTCAAGCCTGGGTAGCAGCAAGGGGTCCTAAGTTGAATAGTATACATTCATAGCTGTTCACTTTATTACTGTGCTTTACAACAATGGTTTCCACAGAGTATCTTGTATGAAACAAATATTACACTAAAAAAAGATAATAAAGGAAAAATAGGAGGGAAAGAGAGAGGCAAAAAAACTAAGGTAAGTCTTTAAGATACCTAGATCACTTACCATCATTCTTTAATTCTCCTCTGCGCCAAGATCATTTACCATACAAATCCATGGAATATAACTCCTAAAATAAAAAATATATATTCTTAGTCATAACACTATCAGAAAATCATATTTTTTCATTAAAATATACAAATATCCTCCCCACATTTACATCAAACAAAAATAAAATAAAATCACTCTTTTATACTGCATATTTGGCTATACTAAGGCATGCTTTAAATACTCCATGCTGGGCGGGTGCAGAGGCTCAAGCCTGTAATCCCAGCACTTTGGGAGCCCGAGGCAAGAGGACTGCCTAAGTCCAGGGGTTCAAGACCAGCCTGGACAATTTGGTGAGACCTCGTCTCTACAATACAACAAAAAATTAGCCAGGCATGATAGTACACATCTGTAGTTCCGGCTACTTGGAAGGCTGAGGCGGAAGGATTGCCTGAGCCCAGCAGGTTGACACTGGGCTGCCCATGAACATGCCACTGCACTCCAGCCAGGGCAACAGAGTGAGACTCTGACTCTAAATAAATAAATAAATACTCCATGCTGAACAATACCTCACTGCTGTCCAAAAAATAAAAATAAAATGGAAGACAAACTATTAACTACATTAAAAATGCAGGCTATCCTAACCAGAGGTTCCAAACTTTTTAAAATTAATTAGAACACAGAGGGACAGGAAAATTGCTAGAAAAAAAATGACCTAACCCTGTAAGAAGAGCCAATGAACAAAGAAAAGAAAGCAGCAACTGGAACCAAACCTCCTGGGATAAGAACCTAGGTCACTGATCCTTTTTCAAGTAAATTCCCTCCTTTGAAATGCAGCACCTCAAATATAAACATATGACCACATAAAAACTTATATGCAATGTTCATAGCAGTATTATTAATAACTAAAATGTCCATCTATTGGAGGATGGATGTATAAAATGTAGTATATCCATACAATGGAATATTATTCAGTCATAAAAAAGAAGAAAATGTTGATACATGCTGCAACATGGATGAATTTCAAAAACATTATGCTAAGTGAAAGAAGGCAGTTATAAAAGACCACAGTTGTATGATTCCATTTATGTGACATGTCCAGAACAATAAAACCCATAGTGGCAAAAAATAAAATAGTTGGTTGCCTAAGGCTGAGGGGGTTGGGGGAAAATGAGAGTAACTGCTAATAAGTACAGTTGGGGGGTGATTTAAAATGTCATAAAATTCATTATGGTGATTTTAAATGTCATAAAATTCATTATGGTGATATGAATATACTAAAAACTATTTTTAAGTGGGGGAGTATCTGAATCACACCTTAGTAAAAGCTTTTTATTATTACTATTTTTATTTTAAAGATATGGGGTACAATTCAGGGTTGTTATTGTTTTTTTAATGCAGTGCCTCTGTGCACAAATCTTCAATGCCTCTCCATCTCGCTCAGAGTAAAAGCCAAAGTCCTGATGTCAGCCTACCCCGCCCTGAACTTTCTAGCTCCACATCTCTCTGTTCATTCCACTCCAAGCACACTGGCCCCTATATGTTTCCCAACATGCCAGACACATATTCACCTCAGAGCTCTACACCTGTTGGATCCCCCATCTGGAGCACTCACAATTCACTCATCTTTGTGCAAATTTCACTTTGTCAGTAAGGCCTCCCCATGTCACCTATTTAAAATCATACCCCTCCCAGACAAACAAAAGCTGTTCATGCCTTACAAAAATGGTAAAGGAAGTTCTTCAAGTTGAAACAAAAGGACACTAAGTATTCATCTGCTGATGGACACTTGGGTTGGTTCAGTAAATAGTGCTGCAATAAACATACAAGTGCAGGTATCTTTTGGGTATATTAATTTCTTTTCCATGGGTTAAATACCCAGTAGTGGGACTGTTGGATCAAATTCTATTTTTAGTTCTTTGTGACATCTCCATACCATTTCACATAGAGGATATACTAATTTACATTCTCACAAAATTGCACATGCATCCCATAAATCTGTACAAATTTTTTAAAATGCTGACAATGTGAAAATGTATGAAAACATAATTCCCTATAAATGTAATAGTATGGTCAAATTCCGTATACTCTAATACTATAATGGTGATACAAAAATCACTTAACTCCAGTTTAAAAGTTAAAAGAAAAAAGGACTAAAAAAAATCATAATTACAATAATTTGGTTTGAGATATCACCTGGAATCTCAGCACTTTAGGAGGCCAAGGTGAGAGGATCACTTGAGCCCAGGAGTTTGAGACCAGCCTAACATAATAGTAAGACCTTGTCTCTACAAAAAAAAATCAAAACATTAGCAGGGCATGGTGGGGCATGCCTCTAGTCTCAGCTACTCATGAAGAAAGAATTGCTTGAACTGAGGTGTCTGAGGCCAACCTAAGCAACACTACGACCCCATCTCTTAAAAAAAAAAAAAAGCTGTCACAACAAAGGCCATTATATAATGATAAAGCAGCAATTCATCAAGAGGATGTGATAACTGTAAACACATATGCACTCAATACTGAAGCACCTAAATATAAGGAACAGCTGGGCATGATGGTTCACACCTGTAATCCTACCACTTTAGGAAGCCGAAGTGAGAGGATTGCTTGAGCCCAGGGGTTTGAGATCAGCCTGGGCAACTTGGTGAGACCACATCTCTACAATAAATCAAAAAAACAGCTGGGCATGGTTATGTGTGCCTACAGTCCCAGCTACTTGGAAGGCTGAGGTAGACAATCACCTGAGCCCAGCAGGTCTACGCTGCAGTGGCTGTGAACGTGCCACTGCACTCCAGCCTGGGTGACAGAGTAGGACGTCGACTCAAAATAATTAATTAAATATACATATATGTATATGAAACAAATATTAATAGCACTGAAGATAAAAATAGATAACAATACAGTAATAGTAGGGGACTTCAATATCCTACTTTCAACAAGGGATGGACCATTCAGACAGAAAATCAACAAAGATACAGGGAACTTAAATAATACTACAGACCAAATGGACCTAACAGACATATGCAGAATATTCAATCCAAGAGCAGCAAAGTACACATAATTTTCAACACACGTAGAACATTCTCTAGAAAAGATCACATGGAAGACCATAAAATAAGTCAACAAATTTAAGAATATTGTAATGACATCAACTATCTTTTCTTTCCAAAATGGTATAAAACTAGAAATCAATAACAGGAAGAAAATTGGAAAATTCACAAATATGTTCATATTAAACAACACACTCCTGAACAACCAGTGGGTCAAAGAAAAAAATCAAAAGAGAAATTGAAAAGTATCTTGAGACCACTGAAAATGGAAACACAACATAACAAAATGGGATGCAGCAAAAGCAGTTCTAAGAGGGAAGTCTGCAGTGATAAAAGCCGACATTCAGAAAGAAGAAAGATCTCAGCTGAGTGAGATGGTGGGTACCTGCCGTCCCAGCAACCCAGGAGACTGAGGCAGGAGGATGGCTTGAGCCCAGGAGTTTGAGGCTGTAGAGTGCTATGATCATGCCTGTGACTAGCCTCTGCACTCCGGGGTAGGCAACATAGTGAGACCTCATCTATAAAAAGAAAGAAAGAAGAAAGACCTCAAACAACCCAAATTTACACCTTAAAGAACTAGAAAAAGAACACATTAAACCCAAAGTTAGCAGAAGGGAGAAAATAACAAAGAACAGAGCAAAAATCAATGAAATAGCAACTGGAAAAAAAATAGAAATTATCACCTAAGAATTGGTTTTCCAAAAAAGATAAGTAAAACTGAAAAACGTTTAGCTAGACCATAAATAAAAGAGAAATGACTCAAATAAAATTAAAAATATAAGAGACATTACAGCTGAGGCCACAGAAATACAAAAATATTTTAAGAGACTACTTTGAACAATTATATGACAACAAATTAAATAACTTAGAAAATATGGGTAAATTCCTAGATATATGCAACCTACCAAAACTGAATCATAAAGAAACTTTAAAAATCTGACCAGATCAATAACAAGGAGCCTAAACTCGAAATCAATACATTTCCAAGAAAGAAGAGTCCAGGACTTTATGGCTTTACTGGTGAATTCTACTCATTTAAAGGAGAATTCATGCCAATCCTTCTCAAACTCTTGCCAAAAATGGAAGAGGAGGAAATAACTCCGAACTCATTTTACAAAGCCAGCAAAGTCACATACGGACACTACAAGAAAAGGAAGTTACAGGCCAATATCCCTGATGAATATAGAGTCAAAAATCCTTGACAAAATACCAGCAAACCAAATTCAACCACATATAAAAAGAATCATACACCACGATCAAGTAAGATCATGAGATAGAAGAACAGTTCAACATAAGCAAATCAATAAATAATATACACCAGTGTAACAGAATGAAGGATAAAAACCATACAATCATTTCAATGGATGCAGAAAAAGCATCTGTCGAAATTCAATAACCTTTCATGACAAAATGAAATTGAACCCTTATCTCATCCAATATACAAAAAATCAACTCAAAATGGATTAAAGACTTAAAGATAAGATCTGAAACTGTAAAACTACTATCAGAAAACATAGGGGAAAAGATTCTTAGAATTGGTCAAGATAATTATTTTTTTGGATAAGACCCCAAAAGCACAGGCAACAAAAACAAAAACAGGCAAATGGTACTGCATCAAACTAAAAAGCTCCTGCGCAGCAAAGGAAAACAACTGAGTGAAGAGACGACCTACAAAATAGTAGAAAATATCTGCAAATCATCCCTCTGATAAGAGGTTAATATCCAAAATACATAAGGAACTTAACTCAATAGCAAGAAAATAAATAATCTGATTTCAAAATGGGCAAAGGGCCTGAATAGATATTCCGCAAAGGAAGATACAGAAATGGTCAACAGGTATATGAAAAAAATCATCAGGAAAATGAAAATAAAATCCACAATGAGACAGTGGCAACTTACAAAGCTGTCAGAATGGCTATTCTCAAAAAGATAAGTGTTGGTGAAGATATGGCAAAAAAGGGTACCTACACTGTTGGTGGGAATGTAAATTAGTACAGCCATTACAGAAAACAGTATGGAGGTTGCTCAAAACATTAAAATGCCACTTCTGGGTATATAACCAAAGGAAATGAAATCAGCATATGGAAGAACCACCTACACTCCCACGTTCACAGCAACATTATTCACAATAACCAAGATATGAGTCAATCTAAGTGTCCATCAATGGATGAATGGAAAAAGAAAATGTGGTATACATATGCAAAATGGAGTATTATTCAGTCTTTTAAAAAGAAAGAAATCGTGTCATTTGTGACAAAACAGATGAATCTGGAGGACATTATGCTAAGTGAAATAAGCCAGACACAGAAAGACAAATACTGTATGATTTCATGTATATGTGTAATCTGAAAAAGGTTAAACTCATAATAGCAGAGCAGATACTCAACAGTATACTGTGTTACCTTCAGGCCCCGACCCTTGGGGGCGGGGCAAGGCTGATAAACACATTCTTTCTTAAACAATGGACCTAAAAATGGTTGAGGACAAAAGCTCATTTGAAGGACAAAATGGCTTCAATCTCCAGGGATCCCTCTTCCCCCTGACACTTTCCTCCTAGACTACCTCCATAATGGCTCACAGTTCAGGGGGTAGTACCTGATGGTCATGAGACTTGATCTACAGCATCTACTATAAAACCTAAGAATGATATTTGCAATATTTTTCAGACTTTGAACTTTGATGGACCCAAGGTCCTACCCAGACTAGAACACAAGGAAGCAGGCTCTACAGGTCCTACAATGCCCTCTCCCAGAAATTGACTCTGCAACAGGAGGACAGTCTTGACACTCTCCCCTCTATGAAGTCATCAACCAATCAACAGCCCCTATTTATCTGCCCACCAAGTTCTCTAAAAAACCCTATCCTGGGACCCAAGGGAGGTCCAAAGTTTACCTGTACAACACTTATCTACCTAATCCTGAATTGTACTCTACATCTTTAAAATAAAATAAAAAAGAAAGAAACCGAATTGTCCTAGTTTTGATGAAAACCAATGTATCTTTTTTAAAGTTGTTTTTAATCCTACCTGAAAAACTTTGCCTTACCTACATTTCTAATGTTATCCTTTAAACACTTTATTGCATTAGGTTTTACACTTACATGTGTAATGCTTTTTTTTTTGGCATATGATCAAAAATAAGGGTCAAGACACTGTTTTTGCATAAGATGCCCGATTTTTCCAACACCATATATTGCAAATACCAAAATCCCTTCAAAAGATGAAAAGATGAGTCAATTTCTAGACCCTCTATTTTCTTCTCTATTTTTTTCTATTGATCTACATTTCCAGTCTTTCTCTTTTAATGAAATCCACTCTTTCTTTCTAGATTAAGCTGGAGACTTAGATTTTGATTTATATAATCTTTTAAATATAGAATTTTAAAACCTTTGTCCTACAGAATTTGTAATTTATGTTTTCATTTGTTCAATACCAAATATTTCCTGAATTTTCTTGTGATCTCGTTGACGTGAGGTTAATTTAAAAATATGTGGTTTGATTTTCAATAAGTAGAATTTTTAATATACATTTTATCTATTGATTTGTTTTAACAAATGGTAGTGAGAAAAAAATTTTTTTTAAAACCCCATCCTCTGAATTTTCAAGGAGGTGGATTTGAGTTATTTCCCCCATCCTTCTTGCTCAGCTGCTTTGCAATATTAAACTCTTTCTCCTTCATAATGGCTGCATCAGTTTTGATTTCTGGGCAATGGGCATAGGAACCCTGTCAGGCTTTAACACTTATGATAGGTTTATCCTGACATAACTCCATCATAAGTCGAAAAAAGCTAAGGGGGCTTTCACATCATTGTAAAATCAAAAAAATCCTAAGTCAAATCATTGTAAATCAGAAACGATTCGTACCCTGATATCAACAAGGCACCATGAGAAAGCATGCACACAGATGTGGAACTAAATTCCAATTTAGCCAGTTGTTATAGTTTGTAATTTTAGACAAGTCATTATTTCCTCAGAACCTGCTTTAACTTCTGTAATACAGGAACAACATCTACTTTGCAAAGTTAAATGGTAGAATGCTAGAGTTCAAGTATCCACCTAACACAGTATCTGACATAACAGATATCTGAAAAAAACTTCTGAAATAATAAATAAAACCTGGCACATAGTAGATGCTTAATGTTATCCTCTTTTCCTCATTCTCCTTAGGTCAGGGTTTTTTCTCTACTATATTTTAAGATTCTGAAGGATAGGATCAGTATCTGAATAATCTTCTCTTCCTCCTACTTAAGCCGGTCCCTTACAAATAGTAAGCACTCTATTTTTGAAAGAAGGGAAAGAACACTATTGGATGGCTTGTTAGTTAAGTAGAATTACCTCTTTTGGGTCACTCCAGAAACAGTGAGGCTATATACTCTATTAGCCTTTCCAATAAAGACAGTTGTAGGACTAGATATCAAACCTTTTCTAAGGTAGACACAATTTTCTTTTTTTAGTTGGAGTCTCACTCCGTCGCCCAGGCTGGAGTTCAGTGGCACACTCATGGCCATCCCAGCACTGACCTGCTGGGCTCCAGCGATCCTTCCGCCTTAGTCTTCCAAGTAGCCGGAACTACAGATGCATGTTACCATGCTCAGCATTTTTTTTTTTTTTTAATTTTTAATTGTAGAGACGAGGTCTCACCATGTTGCCCAGGCTGGTCTCAAACCCACAGACTCAGGCAATCCTCTCACCTCCGGCATCCCAAAGTTGCTGAGATTACAGGCTTGAGCCACCACGCCCGGCCATAGAATTTCATATACCATAAGATTAGCACTGTAAGGGACAGAAGAGGAATACCATATACTCTAAAAAACATGTTGAAAATACACAAGAAGCAATGTAAGGTAGAGAGCAAAAACTCTGAGAGCCAGGTGCAGTGGCTCATGCCAGTTAATTCCAGCTATCTGGGAGGCTGAGGTAGGAGGACTGCTTGAGGATAAGAGTTCAAGACCAGCCTCAGCAACATAGCGAGACTCCCCCATCCCTAAAAAATTAGCTTGTTAAGGGCATAAGCTCTGAAGTCAGACACAAATCAATACTCCAAGACTGCCACTTACAAACTATGCAGACTTTAGGCAAGTTATTTAACATTTTTTAATCTTAGGGTTCACAGCTAAAAAATGTGAGTAAAAATATCAACCTTGTAGAGTTATTTTCAAAATCAAAGAAAGTATATGTGAAGAAACTATTAGCACAAAACCAGTATTCAATAATTGGTAACAGAGATAGTGGGCAATTTTTTCTTTGCTATTTTCCTGATTCTGAAATATCATTAAACTATAATTACAACTTTTAAAAACTGTTATACTTTAAAGTACTTCCAAATTACAGATTAAACTCAACTCTAACTTTGAAATTTTCAACCCAGAGTTCACAAATTCTAATTATCCAGTCTTTTTCTTTTTCAGGGGGGATAAAAGAAGAAGA